GCCGTGGAATACGCGGCGTACGTCCTGAACAGGATGCCGACTCTCTCCAATCCAGACCGCAAATCGCCTCTGGAGCTGCTCACGAAGAATCCAGTGAGTGTCGCGGACGTGGTGGTGTTCGATTCGCCTTGCAAGATGTACCAGAACCCAACAAACGCATTTCTGGGAAAGCGTGGAGCGCCAGGGATTATTGCCGGCAAAAACGAAGAAACCAAGGGGTACAAGGTACTGTTCCCCGGAAAGCAGGTCGTGGTGACTACCCGACACGTGAACCAATACGAAACACTGACAGCTGAAGCAAACAAGCAGCTGAGACAAGCGCTCGAGTCAGAAGCTGACGACGAGCTCGAGAAACTAGCCGGTGAACGAGAAGTAAGTAGACGATGGGAGGAGTCAAACGGCGGACGCTCAGGCTAACGAGCTGCCGCCAAAACCGCGTCGACGCCGAAAACGACAGCTACGGCGCGGACAAAAACTCGCGCGAAACGCGACAAGGAGTCAAAGTCGAAGTCTACAGCGCAACGAAAAGCAAAGGCGTCGGAACAAACAGACGCAGAGGAAGATATATTAAACGACGATGATGACGATTCGAACAGACTCCCGCGAACGTCTGGACGTGTGATAACGAAGTCGGCAAAGCAGAAGGCAGCCGACGATGATGACGATACGAACAGACTCCCGCGAACGTCTGGACGTGTGAGGACGAAGTAGGCAAAGCAGCAGGCAGCCGACGATGCAGACAATACAGCGCGACGCGGGCCGCGAGATCCAGTTGCCGTAGCGACGCTTTTCCAATCAGTTTTTATGTCCGCATTAGGGACGAAGGAGGAGCAGTACGCAAACTTGCCCGACCCGAAGACGTACAAGGCGTCGCGTGCACTTCCAGACGCGCACCTCTGGGCCCAAGCTATGGACGACGAGATCGCTTCGCTGGAAACAAACAACACGTGGCAGGTGGTTAAACGCGAGAAGCACATGCACGTGCTTCGCAACAAGTGGGTTCTCAAAAAGAAGATGAACGGCAGCGGGTCCATCGAACGCTACAAACCAAGACTTGTAGCAGGAGGCGACGATCAAGTGCTCGGAAGAGACTACAACCTGACATTTGCAGCTGTCTTGGACATGACTTGCGAAAAGATCATTCTCGCGGTTGCCCGGCTATGGAACGTGCGCGCGCGACACTTTGACGTCCCGAGCGCCTGCCTGAAGGCCTACAAGGAGGAGGAGATCGAGATTCACATGCGCGTTCCAGAAGGAATGAAGATCAGTGATGATCAGCTGTGGAAGCTAAACGTAACAAACGCCGGCGAGACGTGTCTGCGGATCATCAAAAGCCTTTACGGGCTCAAGCAGGCCGGGCGACTGTGGAACCAGCTACTCGACCAAACGCTGAATGACGCCGGATTCTCACAGTCATCCACGGGCGCATGTGTCTACGTGAAGACAACAGCCGAAGGCACGACAGTAGTGGGAGTGTGTGTCGATGACCTTCTTGCTACCGCGACGAGCGACGAGCTTCTAGACGACTTTGGCGCGGCGATGCAGAGCCTGGAGCTCAAGTGCTTCGGGAGCGTCGAGAACTTCCTGGGCATGCGCATCGGGTACGACGACTTGCACGGGTACACCGTCGACCAAGAGCAAATGATCACCGAACTACTGCACAAGAATCGTCTGGAAAAGGCGAACGCAGTGCGCTCACCAGTCAGTGACGAAGCGTCAATCGAGTCAGAGAGCACCGACACGAATCCACTTCCCACGCGTGTCGCTGGCAATGCAGAACGACCTACGATCAAGAGTTTCCAGAGCCTTGTCGGGAGCCTGCTGTGGGTCGCACGATGCAGTCGACCCGACATCGCGTGCGCGGTTCACCGCGCGACACGCCGCAGCCACGCGCCCAGCGACCACCACATGAAGCTCGCGCGCCGAGTGCTGAGATACCTTGCTGGTACGGCTGCGCTGAAGCTGCACATGGGCGGCGCATCGAGCGCCAATGAGGTGAGACTTACTAGCTACACCGACGCGGATTACGCGGCCGACAAGGCCACGCGAAAGTCGATCATCGGTGCAGTGCTGCTCGTCGACGGGATGCCCGTCGGATGGCAAGTCAAGCAACAGTCCGCAGTCGCGCTCTCAACTGCGGAAGCCGAGTTCGTGGCAGCATCTGTTGGTGCGAAGGAGCTCCTGGGCGTAAAGAACCTACCGCATGGAATGAACGTGAGTGTGAAGTTGCCGATGCAGATGATGGTGGACAATCAAGCGGCGATCAAGCAGATCGACAACGAAGCCACGTCGAGCGCACAGAAGCACGTCGGCATTAAAATGAAGTTCGTACGCGACACGAGCTCTAAGGGCATCGTGAAGCCCGAGTACATCGCGACCAACGAGATGATCGCGGATATACAGACGAAGAGTGTCCCGGCGCCTAGAGTCGCAGACCTACGCGAGATGATGGGATTGCGGTAAGTGCGGTGCCGCGGGAGAAGTTTTGGAAGTGGATGCACGGCACCTGACAAGAAGGGTGGAGAAGCTGTGCAGCTTGCAGAAATCTTGAGATAGTGAAGAGCGTCTGTACGTAGTATATAGTGAGATCAAGAGCAGATTTCGTGAGGATCGCAACCACACAGTACAGTCTGGAAAATCACATCGACCGCGCACTCGTTCCTCCATTTGCACGCGGATTCAAAGTCAACAAGTGTAGCTTGAACATTTGCCTCCACTGGAAGATCTATGGTGGTCAGCTTGTTGTTGTGGGTCGATACGTAGATGGCCTGCTGGCTCCCGGAACTGAAAGAGCTACTGTCGAGCGATTCTTCACACAGTCTGGAAGCCTGGTCATCAAGAACGTTGGTGTCGTCCGCAAGCTTCTTATAATGCGTGTTACCATGGACGACAACGACAGCTACAATATCGACCAGTCTGAAGCCATAGGCGATCTGCTGATTGGAATTAAAAGCGTCAACTCGACGCGAGCTTTGATAGGGGATGACTGCTATGTAGTGCAGCCAGAAGACTGCGCGTTGTAAAGCGCGAGTGGGGTTGACGAGGACCCGAGCATCCGGGAGGTTCAGTCCCTTGTAGGCAGTAAACTTCGGGTGGCGCATTACACGCGGTGCAACATCGCATTCACCGTGCTTAAAGCAACGCACTAGAAGCATCGCCACGACTGCACGGATTTTAGCTTGCGAAGCGATACGCTCGTTTCCAAAAGGGCACGCGCTAATTCAAGCTGCGCATAGCGCTGACGCGGGGTTCCGATTTCGAGCTGCAGCTTGAGTCTTAATCGGACGCCGACTTCGGTTCTGACAAGTCGTACCGATATACTGTGATCGACGGCATCATTCGGCAAAAGTTACTGCCAGTGATCTAAACGGCCAAGAAGCAGGGCGAAGACACGCTTTCCACGATAGTGGCGGAATATGCCGCCACGTCGGAGAAGGCGCGCGAGTTGCTCGGCATCAGGGAGATGCTCTGCGAAATTTGAAAGACGCTTGCGTACTCGATGGTGCTGCACGTGAAAACCCAGGCCAAGCTAAAGCGGTTGGCATGAATAACATTTTAGCCGAAAACCAAACAGATCGATGAACGCCTGAAAGCTGTCTTTTACTACGCACGGAAATGTTTAGTCGTAGCGAAGTACGTGCGCTCAGAGCTGCAATTGGCGGATCTGTTGACGAAGTCCCTTTACGCTGCGAAGCTTGCAGAATTGAGTAAATTGCTGCAACTTGAGAAACGCGAGGTAGCCATGGCCGAGAAGGAATGTCAGAAAAAAGTAAGGTCCTAAGTACAGTTGCGCGTGAGGCGCGCTGGATGACGATGCAAAAAACGGCCGCTGAGTTGTGGTCTTATCGAAAATACACTGCGTGACACGATAGGCAGCATTTGCGATCGTAGGGACAGGATGGACAGCGACTTAAAAGTAGGTAAAGGCATAACGAAAGTTAAATAACAGAATCGTTCTACAACAGTTTTTCAGACTGTTCCCCTTTCGATCACAAACAGCGGAACTTTTGTAATATTGTGTTTGGTAAGCTCTCACAATCTTACGTACACTACACGTGGAGAGGAGGGGGCACTGAGCAAGTACTGCTTAGAATGAGGGAAATTGATACAATTCAAATACGGTAAATTCACTCAATTTAAACCTCTTTTCTCTTACTATAAGGTCGAAATCTATAAGATCCGAAGGCGGAATCTCACTTATTACAGATTGTGCACGTCTAGCGGTGATTGATGTTTAGTTGGCTGATATCATGGCCTATATCAACCAATAAGTTGAACGACGCCATTTTTAAGTTTCGGAGGTTAAATTCCTTTAATATATAATTACAAGGATGAACATTCGTAGAAAATATAAAAGGTGATTTTAACGTTGACACGAACTGTTGTGTTAATGACACGGTAGGGGCAATTTGGCTGACAGAATATTTGGTATCGAAATAACAGTCGCAAACAAAAGCTTGCGCAAAGTATGCGAAAGATGTATATTTCAGTAAGAAACTGATTATTAACAGTAAAATAAAAGCTGCTCACTAAATATAGACAAGACTCTTTTGCACATATGCTACAAATGCTTCCAAATATTGGTAATGTACAAAGTATACAGCGATGAGAAATCCGTGTGTCGCAGCATAAATCATAGTTGTCAAGCATGCGCACGTGCTGTGGGAATGAGCACACCGCTGGGATATAAATGCCCCGTTTTGCCTTGTTTTGCACCGTTTTGCTCGACCAACCAAGAGCACGAGCGACGGTAAGAATGGTAGGGTTTATACGTCAGGATGTGGGGTAGAAACGGCTTTTCGACAATACTATTTTTAAGCTGCTTTTATTCTTTGCTTACATAACAGGGTGCAGTTGGCAGTATGCTTAGCAAAACCAGACACGTCACGGTCGCCGGGTGCGACTGCACCTACGTAAACCACTTTTATCGTTTAAACGTAAACGCACAGCATTTGACCCACTTATCGAATATGCCAAAACAACACGAGCACCGCCCGTCGATGGCGGCCATCGAGTCTATGACGGCCCATATCCACAGAACACTCGTTGCGGCCAATGCCGTTTCCGATGTGACGGTCGATTTCCCAAACTTTGTCACTTACGCCCGTCACGGCGTCAACGTGTCGATTCGCGGCTCCCAGTCCAAAGACCTGTCCGAAGCCACACACGAACAGGTCGTCGCGCTCTTTGAATCAAATATGGCGAATCTGTACCAGACGTCGGACTGGGGATACGACCCAACTGCGAAGCGCACTGAACTGTTCGACAGCGACGCGCGGTACCTCTTAGTGTATGACGAGAGTTTCGAGGCGGTACACCCGTTGAAACCACTCGTGGGCTTTGTCCACTTTCGCTTCGTCGAGGACGACGGTGCGCTGGTTTTGTACCTCTACGAGGTCCAATTGGCCGCTAAGGTGCAACGTCAAGGCCTTGGACGGTTTCTCATGACGCTGCTGCTTTTGGTGGCAAAGAAGCACGGGATGGACCTCCTGGTGCTTACCGTGTTCAAGCACAACACGGCAGCGGTGAGGTTCTACCGAGAACGACTGGGCTTCGAGATCGACGAGACGTCGCCAAGTGCCTGTGGCGATGACTCGCAGGACTATGAGATCCTGAGCAAGCGCGTCGTCAAGAGCAAGTAGATGTTGGAGTGGTACTTTTGCCATAACGGGCTGGCTGCAGATAATACAGCAGAAGGCTTTAGATGTGTGCTGTCTGCATGTTCATGCTGAGCTGCTGGGGTAGTTAACAAAGTGGTCACAGCCACAGCCAAAGCTTTGCCAGACGTGAGGAAACGGTATCAAGGAAACCGACTGCAGGAAGCTCAGGTCGATGATCGTCTTGCGTCTTGACGAATAGCATAGCACAGCTTCAACAAGGCCAAACTTCTCATGTGCCACCGAGTGAATGAGCCCTGCGACGTGAACCGACGAAGCGAAACAGGCCGAGCCAGTTGCAGGCGGAGGTAGTATGCGCTACACACGGCTGCATTGGTGTCGTTGGTACCACGTCGAGGACAGTGCGAACAGGCCACTTGAATGGACGTTTTACTTGCACTGCCACAACGAACGGCTATGCATATTGGCGTCAGTGAACAATGTCTCAGTATCGCCTGAGACAAAGCTACAGGTCCGCAACCCCGTCGTCCCCGAGTAGGCAAACTGACTCACTCACTGAACGTACTGCGTTTGCGTGACGAAACTCGTCGCAGCTTCTTACACTGCCCAAACATCTGACGTTGACGGCGGTGACTCGTGTCCGGCTTGTTCGGTTGGTCGATTTCCTGACTTTACAGACCGCCGTCGCTAGAACTGACCTCAGTAACGCGGACACCTCAATGCTGCAGTTTTTGGGCAGTCGAAAGCTTTCTCGATGCTACATACGTATTGCCAGCAGTCGTCTCGATGTATGCCAGAACGCAAAGTTGGACGTAGCAGTGGCAAACTACCGTGACTAGCTCATTCGAATTGCTGTTGTCCAGTGACTGTTCCCAGACTGTGTGTACTCCCGGGGTAGAGCTTTGCGCCCGGGACAGCCACGCAAGAGAATGCGATCGACAATGACACCATTAGCCAAAGGTTGTTGCAGACTGCATGCTCTGTTTGGGAATGCCGACGGCAGTCGAGTAGTTGGCTTCGTCAAGTGCCAGCAGGAGCATTGTAGTCTCTGCTGCGAAACAAAGTCAACGACTTTGTACAGTCAAACTTGTGGGTTCTCAGCTTTAGCATCGAGCAAGCAGAGTGTACCACCCGCACGGCAAGCGCTTTCAAAAGTTAGGTGCTCTCTATTGTCATGACGCTGCGAGCAAACACGGATACGACAGTTGCGTATGAACCAGCTTCACCTACGATAATGATCGTGGCCAAGACGGATACATCCACCGTCATGGTATCCACTAGCAGTGCTTCACAACAGTGCGGGCGACTTGATCGATGCCATGTTGTAGACATATCGGCTACATGCCGCCATGCGGTCACACTACTCCGAGCACTTCTACACATTGCTACCACTGCAACAAACAGGCGTACGTCTGGACAACGAAAGGCAGGTCAATCGGTGCTACTGCATGTAGTGCAACGAATTTACGTTAGATGTAGAGCCTCAGAAGATCAGTTTGACACATTGCGACGGCGGTCGTGACCCCGCCACTCGTGCAGTAATTGGACATAGCGTTGTCATCATCACTGGCTTCTACATTACATTTCGACCGCACCCACTGTTGGCTACCGACGCTTTCAATCAAAGTGTGGGTGAGGGAGGCGCCAGGAGCAGCGCGAGCGGCTCCTCTCGTCCAACCGTAGCTTTAGTGTACTGTACGCAATACTGCGTTACTTCGGGTGTCAAACACATGACACATCAAGATGTCACCGTTGACCAGTGTAGTTTACGAGTCTGTAGCAGCTGCACCTCAGTGACTGGGTGACCCGTTGCGACGCGCGAAACGTTGCTGACCTCTGTGTGAGTAGGGCGGTAGCACGTCGGATTAAACTGACGCAATGTCTCGTTTGTTGCCTCACGCCGTGCTGCCGACATCATGGAGATAGCCGTCTGCATTGGAAAGCGTCGCGACCGCGAAGATGAGGTGTAGGAGTATATATGAGCTGCGCTCCGTAGAATGCAACGACGCGCGCCCTCCTCGCGGCCGCGTTGGTCTCCTGCAACATGTCCAGAAGCAAATGCGGGTGAGCTCATAGCTCGAAACCTCGCAGCGTGTTCCCTGATTGCCTTCATTTCGACACCGCTTGACCAGACGTCACATACGAGACACATAAAGCGCGTGGCCTCGACTCACGTCGCTCGGTCTCGAACGTGCACGAAGCGTTCGGCTCGAGTGAGAACACTCGGAGGGAATCGACTGCGTGGTCAGCAGTTTTGTTGAGTCTGTGGGTCACGTGCGGCTGACAGTCATTGACAGTCGAGCAAATCGGTCGTCACGTCGCGCGAAGACGGATCATGTGAGACTGTGGCTGCTCAAATACAGCTGGTGGACCAATCAAGAGATACCTGTGCAGAGCACGTGCGGGGTCTGCGTCCGGGAACTTCCTCGTCCTTCTGCTTCTTCTTCGCTTGTTGCGCGAGAGGGGCAGAAGGTCAGCAGTGAGGGTACAGGATACCACTTGTGCCGCAATGCGTGTGAGTAGCTCGTTACCTACTCGTGCAAACGGAGGATCGCGTTGACAGGCACTCAATGGAGCTTGACCTTCTTCGATATGGACTGCGTATGTAACACGGACGAACGCGCCCCTTCACGTGTGTAACACGGGCGATCTCGCGCAGCAGCGCCCACGCCGTCGACAGCAGCAAACACCTGACATCGTGAGATCTGACCAACAACAACAACAACCGCTCACGACAACAACCGCTCACGACAACAACAACAACATCGCTGTTGTCAAACCGTCTGGCAATGCGAAACCACATTGCAACGCACGTACTCCAACAGTGACAATGGCTGACATGCCACAGTGCGTGCGACTTGTGTGTCGGCAGACGAGTGTCTGCTGGCAGGTGCAACTTTAACGACAGCTGACTTGTACATCCTTCGCGGTCGCTCGCTCGCTCGCGCGCACGGTAGCTTGACTGCGCGAAGGGGCAGCAACGACAAGCGTGCGTCCCATCCGATTACCTAATGATCGTGGCCTCGGCTGGGCCCTGCACGCACGCAACTCGAGCGGTGCAACATCCGAAGGAGGTGATTGCCTCCAACATCCGCCTGGACCGGATGCTTTGGGATCACATAGGGAGAGAAATCGCGTGGTGTCGTCATGCCGACATCACGCTCGCTCACGCTTGTCAAAGCGCCTCCGCGTCGCCATGGACACGTTCGATAGCAACCGCAGTCACGACACATCAGCCTGCAAGTTGATGCTGCAACTGCCGTCAACACTGTCGCGCATGCTCGCGGGCAAAAAGCTGTCGCGCTCCATCACACACAGCGTCGAATGCGGTTCCAGCACAACTGGCCGCAGTGGACTCGGGCGGGCAAGTGGTACGGCCAACGGCAAGTCGGCGGTGCACTAGTCAATGAGCAAACAAAGGAACAAACGAACACGGCAGTTGCGTCGACACCCAAGCGGTCAGAGCTCGCTCGCCCCTTTGGTTCAACGATATCGCTCCTCCATGTTGTTTGTGCCACTTGGACAGCCCGCCCGTGCGGAGCTTCAAAGGCTCCTGACAGTTCCATCGCCTCGTCGGGTGGCTCGCTCGCGCCGGCCGCCATGTTGGCCACGTCGTGGGAGAGTGGCGGACCTTGTCCGTGTGTCTCGGCTGGCCATCACCAGCTGCAGAATATCCACTTTCACCAGCTGCTGCCTCGCAACATACTGTGTCCTGTAGTCAGCTGCAACTGCTGGGCGGGTCCATGCCACCTGCCGGCAAGAGCGACGTGCTGTTCTTCGTCGCGGTCGGTCGCCATCGTCCCGGGGCGTGAACTGCCATCAACGCTCTGGATCGAAGCGCAGGCGGCGGCCACACGGATACGATTGCTACTCCGCGTCTCGTGGTTTTGGCCGCCGTGCGCTCGCGGCCTCGACGCCCACATCCAACGAACTGCCACTGGACCAGTCGCCGTCGACCGATCCTCAATCGTGTGCGTAGGGCCTTTCCCTACTGCTGTCGGTCAGGTCGCGCGCTCTCTCTCTCTCTCTCTCTCTCTCTCTCTCTCTCTCTCTCTCTCTCTCTCTCTCTCTCTCTCTCTCTCTCTCTCTCTCTCTCTCTCTCTCTCTCTCTCTCTCTCTCTCTCTCTCTCTCTCTCTCTCTCTCTCTCTCTCTCTCTCTCTCTCTCTCTCTCTCTCTCTCTCTCTCTCTCTCTCTCTCTCTCTCTCTCTCTCTCTCTCTCTCTCTCTCTCTCTCTCTCTCTCTCTCTCTCTCTCTCTCTCTCTCTCTCTCTCTCTCTCTCTCTCTCTCTCTCTCTCGCTCGCTCGCTCTCTCTCTCTCTCTCTCTCTTTTGACGCGACACTTTGTCGCGCTTCCTTTCGCTTTCCCCCGCCCTACGTCCCTCCGCTCCACATCCCCAAGAGCGTCCCATCTGCAAACGCAATCTCCTGGTCCTGGGCCTCCTTCAACCAAACAGGAGGTTTTCCTCCACGTCCGTCCGAGCGCTTTTCTTTCTCTTCTTCTGCTTCTGCGCCCGCCGCTCTCCTTCTCGTTCTCGACGCAGAGACACTCGAGTCGCCTCAGTTGGTAACTTGAGCTGTGCCGAGTCAATCCGATCGCGCGCAAAAGAGCACAAGACGACGCCGCAACTCGTCATCGGATCCACTGCTCGAGTCATGCCGTCGACCGCCAGCAGCGCTCCAGACGGCCGCAATAGCAGTTGCCGTAGTAGTTGCACTAGTACCAGTTATCGCAGTAGTCGCAGTGCCCCGAGCCAACTGCAGCAGCAGCAGCAACGGCCCTATCACTCCATGGCGAAGCCGCGACACCACCTCAGCCAGTACGCCGACCCGCTCGTCAACGACTTTGGCCTTCTGACCAGCGACATGGACGTCTGGGCCCGACCGCAGCCGCCCTTTACACCGCACCAACGGCATCCGCTCGCGGGTCCGCCCGCACCGCTCACGCGCCACGCGTCAATGCCCGCGCGTCAACTCACGGCGGCCCTCTTCCAGCCCCAGCAGCCCCAGCAGCAGCAGAACTACCCGTCCCAGCAGTCGCAGCCGCCGCCGATGCTCGCGCGACACCACAGCCACAGCTTTGTGTCGTCGCTGCAGGCGCATCCGCAGAGCTTTCCACCGCTCGTGAACGGGTCACTGCCGCCGCCGTCGCCGCCGCGTGCCGTGCAGGCGCACGAGATGCAGTACCTCTTGGAGATCAGTATGGACCAACAGCAGCCGCTGCAGTACCTCGTGCCCTCTCCGTCCCCACGACAGGTACCACAACAGACCACGCAGTTCATGCACCGGTCGATCAAAGCAGAGCCATTGCCGGCGTCGCCGTCGCTCAGCGTCGAACCCATTGCCTTCTCCAGTGCCGACCGCGGCCTCAAGATGGCCATTGACGACTTTGACCCGCTCGCCTACGCCGTCTTTAGCAGCGCTTCAGCATCGGCGCTCAAGTCGGCAGTGCCCTCGGACGGTCCCCACGCGATCGAGTCGGCCTTCGACTCGCTCGACCGCCTCCTGCCCGACACGGAGCCGGAGCTGTTGTTCCGCGTTTTGCCGACGAGCGCTCGGACGTCCAAGGGCAGCAACAGCAACAGCAGTAGCAGTAGCAGTTCCTCCGCCGCCACGTGTAAAGTGACGGACTGCGACCGCCGCGTGCGGTCCAAAGGCTTCTGCAAGACGCACGGCGGCGGCCGCAAGTGCAGCATCGACGGCTGCCGCAAGTCGAGTCAGAACGGCGACTTTTGCATCGGCCACGGCGGCGGCAAGAAGTGCAAAGAAGAGGGCTGTGCCAAGGCCGCGCAGTCGCACGGGCTGTGCAAAGCCCACGGCGGCGGCGCGCGCTGCAAGTACCCGAGTTGCAACAAGAGCTCACAGGGCGGGGGCCTCTGTCGCGCCCACGGCGGCGGCAAGCGCTGTCAAGCCGCTGGGTGTCCGAAAGGCGCGCAACGCGGCAACTTTTGCGCCACGCACGGCGGCTTTCGCAACTGCAAGATCGAGGGCTGCGTGCGCACGGACCGCGGCGGCGGGTTCTGTGAGGTGCACCGGCGGGGCCGGTTGTGTAAGGTCGAGGGGTGCAAGAAGCTCTCGCGCAACCAGGGCATGTGCACTATGCACATTCGCGAGGACAAGCAGGTGTTTATTGAGCCACTGTATGCGTGAAGGAGGAGGTGCTGCCGAAGTCGGTGATTGTCATCCTCCTTTGAAAGAAGGCGAGGAGGAGGAGGAGGAGGTGCCCGAAGAGAGGGATATGGTGGCGACGGCCGATTCGGTGCAGAAGGGGTGCTATCAAACGGTCGGAAGGTGTGTCGTCACGTGTTAGGGCGTCCGCCTCAATGTCTCTCTCGAGTTGGTGTGGGGGTACGGATGGACCCCACTCATCGTGGTAGTGTCAGTTTAGGTCGTCTAGTCCGTGTAATATCTACTGTATATCTGCGGGACCAGTTTGAGCGCATATAGTCCTATTTGCTGAGAGTCGTGCGTTCGTATAAACGTTTGGTCCGTCTGGTGTCCGTCTGGTCCGTGGGACGCGAACGCCCACTCCTCCGTCGCGCAACGCCATCATCGCCTATTGCGTGACGACTGAGCTCTTTTTTTTCCGACTCTCTCTATGCCTTCCAGATGGTGGGTGATTTGTGCGATACGATATCGGCGCGATAGGGGACGGCCAGAACGCAGTGGTGGTGGGCGCCGTATTGGAATAGAGCACAACGTCGAGCGTCCAGACTGTGCTACACACTCGCCATCACAATCGCGTCCTGCGACAGTAACTTAACATAGTTTATTACATGGTGCAAACGGCTTTACGGCAGACCTGACCTAACGACACTTGTCCCCGACGCCATCGATGTCGCACGTAATGCCCCGTCCTTGTCGTCGTGGCGAGACATGTCGAGGTCGAGTACCCTCGCACGGCGGATCCGACGAACAGACTGATGCTTGTCAACTTTCATGGACAATACCGGTCGACGCAATTGAGATGCTGCGTCCTGGCTGTGATGGCCATCTTCTCCCTGCGGCAGCTCGCCACAGTCCTTCTTCTCCTTGTTCAAACACACAATGGGCTCTTGCTTGGGAGGCTCCACTGTAGCCACTGCGTTCCTGCTCGGCGAACCCTGCGTCGCCGGATCCTTTTTCACGTTGGCGAGGTACTTGCTGTGCTCGCGGCGGTACTCACTCGTAAAGTTCGCAATGTGCGACAGCAGCACGTCCAGCTCCTCTTCCGTGTCTTCTTCCTCAAAGTACTCGAGAAAACGAGCCTTGGCGGCGTCCAACTTGTCCAGCTGACCCTGAAGCATCGATAGCTCAGCCTTTGCCGCTTGGTAAAAGCAAATCAACGCGTCAGTGTAGGCTGTCATGCCCTCCTTGTTGGCACTCTCGGCCTCGCGCAAGACCTTTTGCAAGCCAAGTTCCAGTCCATTCCTCTCGGATGCCAGCGACGCGTACGCCACGTTGCTGCACTTCAGAATGAGGTCAATGTCCGTGTAAAATTGCGCGAGGTGCGGCACGTCCCGTTCGATCGACTGCACGACGTACTGCAGAAACGTGGTGCCACCCACGAACGCCTTCGTCTGCGAAAACTTGACCAGAGAACTCAGGGAGAAGGCGTTGACACCCTGTTGCTTGGTGTCGCCGCCAAAGTTGAGCAAGTTACCAATCTGCAAAATATAAATAAATAGTTGGCGTAGTTCAGCGCTTGAGCACACCTGGTCCACACCCCGCGTCACGAGGTCCAACGACTCGCGCAGCTCGTGCGATCGCGAGGAAAATTCCTGTTTGTATACTAGACATGCCAGCTTCTCGTGGAAGCGGGGCACACTGCGCACTTCGACCAAAAATTGTTCAGCAGTGCCAAGTGTTGCCAAATCGCCCTCGAAGGCCTTGATCGCTTCCATCTCTTGACGATCAGGCCACATGTCCATGAGCGAATGCACTTGAGACGACGAGAGCACGTTTGGGTTCATTGCCAAGATCTCGCGCTTGAGCTCTGGAAACGTCAGCTTCACACGTGCCAGCGTGATGGCAATGTTCTGCGACTTCTTCATGTCAATGAGCTGCACCATTGCTTTCTTCTTCAATGCAACAGCGCCATCAGAATTTGTCGAGACATCCGGCTTCTTGCTCTCTGTCAAATCCTTCACAAACAGCTTTTCAAGTATCGCGCGGCTCTCCTCGGAAATCTGAACCTGCTCTTTCGTCTCTTCCATGCTGTCACCACCCCACAAACTGTCGCGTCGTGGCCGGTGCTTCTTCCCTTCCCAGTGCAGCTTTTTGCGGATCGAGTTCTTGCGCTTCAGAGACTCTTTCGGTCGCGCAGCAGGAGTTGCAGCCTGACGGGGCCCGTTCAATGACGCCGGGTCAAGTCCTGCCATCCGCATTTTCTGCTCCACCGCGCCGCGTGGCAAACCCATACGAAGCATCTGAAAGTATTTGTGGTATTTCTGTCGATGTGCAGCTCTCATCTCTTCCGTCACTTCTAACTCGGCTGCTGCAGCCTTCGGCTCCGGTCGCTTTGGCGGTCCGTGCAGCCAGGATGGGTCCACACCATCCATGCGCATTTTGTGCTCCACAACGGCAGCAGGCAAGCCCACCTTCACCATCTGCGAGTACTTGCCGTGCTTTGATTCGTATTCTTTCAGCTGCGCCTGGTAGGCCATCTCGGCTTTTTCGTCCAGCACGGGGCCACTAACAGCCTTGGGCAAGGGTCTGCTTGGATCCATGTCCAAGATGGCTGGGTCCACGCTTTCACTCTGCATCTTGTGCTTCACCACAGCAGACGGGAGGCCTACCGCCAGCATCTTGAAGTACTTCTGATACGCTGGGTGGTCCTTCAGCGGCGGCCCGTCCATCTCAGTGCTGTCGCCATCGGATGGAGCCACAGCTTCAGCCGCAGGTGCTTGCTGGCGCTGCTTCAGCGTCGCAGCTACTGGATGCACAACCCCGCCTCGTTCGTCCTGTGCATTATCTTGTGCAGGCAGTGACGATCCGCTTCTCTTGGCAAGCATAGCTCCCAATGGATCAACCTTGGACGCTCCAAGCGCGCCGCCATCCACTACTGACGGTAGAGTGGCTTGTTTTACCGGCACGGCTTCCAACGTGGTCTTGTCGTCCACTGAGACCTGTCCCGGCTTGCCCGTTGACAGAGCAAGCATCTCCGCCAGCGCTTTATTCCTGTCCGAAGCAAGGTTCTCCGAGCGCGCCAGCGATGCAGCAGTCTCAGGCAACTTCACTACGTTCGCCTCAGGTCCTGATTGCATCCACTTTTCCTCTGCATCCAGGTCTCCGTTCGATGTGCGCGATGCGCGATTAGCCAGCATGTCGGCTACACTTGCGTGTCGAGCGATACCCACAGGCATATGCCGCTCCGAGAGCATGTCGAGCAGCTCGCCACCGTAAAAGTCCTCGCTGTTCGTGCGGGACCGTGCAGGGACCACGTCCACCAGGTCCACTGAGCTCACCGAGTCGAGATCGTCCATCAAAATGTCGCTCTCTTCGTCTTCCAGGCGCACGTCGGCCAAGATGTCGAACGAGTCATACCGCCGTCGCCGCTCCTCTTCTCGTCGCAGCAGAATCTGCTCTTCGTGCTCGCGATCGTCACAGTGCTCTGCTTCGTCGACCTCTTGTCGGGTCAACAGATCCTCCAAATCGCTGTGCAATCGGCCGCGACTGGCAATGGCCCCGCGCACGTCGTCCTGTTGCGTCGTATCTTCCGACGACGTCGACGACGTCGCGCACGACTTGCGACAGTCACTCGTACTGCGAAACACGTAACTCTGCATATCAATCGCCTTCTTCGTCAATGTCGTCAATGTCGTCAATGTCGTCATCATCGACGTCGTCCAGTGGCACGACCTTCTCGTCGGCCGTGACAGCGCCACTATCGGTCGTGTTGCGGCTATAGCTGTGGCTGTGATTGGTGTCGGTATCCCTGTAGCCCGTGTCGAGCGCCTTGTCCGTGTGGCTGCCCGTATGCCGAAAGAAGTCCTGAACCTTTTGCCGGTTGTCCCAGTCGGTCGCTGGCGCAGCAGCTTCCAACAGCGTCGGGCCGACCGCCACGTGTTGGAACACGGGCAGTCCAAACTGCACGCCGTCCGTCCGACGGAACGAACGGCCCTGTAACAAGTGCGGCAGCCGCACGTCCGTATCTTTTGCAGCAGTTGTAGTTGACGTAGTAGTTGTAGTTGTTGCTGTAGTTGTTGCTGCTGTTGTTGCTGTTGTTGCACCGGTAGCAGCAGCTCGAGTCGAACTGCGTGTGCCGCGTGTCTCTGTCGAGTTGTGCGTCATGAGCATCGAGAGGAAAGACGGCGCCATGCGAGTGGCCTCTGCGCCTGTTCACCTGCAACGGCCCTGCGTCTGCTCCACACAGAGAGAGCACAAGAGGGGAAGTAGGAGACCGAGAACGAGAACGAGAAGCGAGAGAGGCGGCGATGGCGTCGTGTGCAGCTGCAAAAAGGTGTTCTGCGACTCGAGCGGCTCGACGACAGACCCGTTGTGTGCACTTGCGCTGCTCGGCAGACGAGGCAGACGGTCCGTGCGGTTTGAATGAGTAGTGTAGAAGTAGTGTCTGTGGGTGCGCCTGTGGTCTTGAGGTTTGCGTGTTTTGGCAAATGGCACCTCCTCCTGCCCACGGGACCGAAAGCCGCTGCAAAGAGCGTCCGCCGGGGGATGTGACGTGCGCAATACGGCCACAAAGCGCCCCAAATAGGCGCTGCGGGCGAGCAACTGGGCCCTTTTTTTGTGCGACGCCGCACGCCCTGTTTATGCCGCGGACAGAGCTGCGGCTGTATCGACTTGAAGAGGGAACGGTGTGCAAAGCAGCTGCAGCTGCAGGAGGAGCGCCATTGGGCCGCGTTGGGCCGCGGCAGCGCCTGCCCAGATAGGCCCATTTCAAGGCCACGTCGACTGGACTGCGGCCACGAGCGACACGCCGCACGGACCCACTCGACGGCGCAGCTGTGCCGAGTCGCGCGCAGCTGAGTCGTTTGCATAAGTTGGCGCATGAGGAGCTGTGGTTGGAATCGACACTGGTGTGGGACACGCGCTCGAAACGGCATGTCGGCGCTCGGAATAGCAACAAGTTCGGTGGCGACTGACCTCAGGACGGACGAGTTCCGTCCCGTGTCTCTCGCTCTGCTGGACAAATGGGGGGAGGGGAGGGAGGGAAGGAGGACCTGATGTGGCTCGTGCGCGTCGTATTTGCAGCGTGTTCAAGCTCCTGCACGATGGGCACTCATTTTTTGCGGCTGAAATTGGGTCCGCCGACTCTTGCGCCTTTGTTGTCTTTTCGTTGCTGTGGAGCAGAGGGACTTATATGACGATACGAACGTTCTTCGGTAGTCTGCACTTGGTCGTTGGACATGCAGACGGAACGGACTGGCGGTCTCGTCTGCTTCAACAGCCTAAGCGACGTCGGGTTCTCGTTCCGAATCAAGTGCTACCCCCGATCAGGCAAACTATTCAGTAGCAGTCAGAAGTACCCCATCGAAAAGCGTACGCTACGCTATCTTCCCAGACTTTCGCTACGTTTGGATCGTCACACCTTATCCCTGAGTGGCGCAGTCTCAGCCTCTATATATCATATCTACCCACTTCCCTCGGCTACGTATTCCCTCGAAGGGCGGATAAGATAAGTAGCGTGCTCGTTGGGTGGTTCCTCCAGCATGATGAGCTAATTTCTTCGCACGAACGGTCCCTTCGTGCGTCTTGTGCGACGCAAGCAACAACAGCGTCAGGAAAGCTGACTCCGCGATCTGAAAATGGTCGGACTTACGATAGATTGCTTGCTGTACCACTTCACAAGCTTCAATGACGACGCACCGTGAGCATTGAACACGATGGTGAAGTAAAGGCTGCAGGAAACCCCTCGAAAACTAGTAAGTACGCGAGCAAACCGCAAGTTCGGAATCCACACATCGAACCTAGGAGAGATCCTACAGACGGTCTTGAGTTCAAGGTGAGCTGCAGTGCGATAGCTACAGCGGCCACTCATTGATCGTCATGAGCATAATAGAGTTCGTATGCTCCTCGATCTTTGTCGGCTTCACTACATACCCGATCAGTCAATAACATGTCCGCATAGACTAGTGGCAGACTTTGACGATCAATGTGCCATCGAAAGTGTGCGACTGCAGCAGGGTCTAGCTCAGCTCACAGAAGTGCCGGGTTCATAGATCCATGCACATTAAGACATTGCTGCTCGTACGGACTATACAGACTTGTTTGGAGATCGTTGGGTACGACACCGCGTTCAGTTTCTCTCTTGGGCTCACGCAAAAAAGTGCCAAGGTCGGTCTGCCGCGTGCACATTCGGTGCAAGTCGGTGCTACGAAAATCTCTGGGCAACAGGGTGGAACGACTCGGTCGTTCTTGCCACTTGCTTGAGCGGTCCTACCGGTGATGGACACGAGTTGCTCGACGTAAAAATCCTGCATGTACTATCGCGTCGCACGTGATCGACAACGCTGCTGATGCGTCACGTTTTCGTAGAGGATGCAATACCAATTGCTCTACGATGATAAAAGCTGTGTTTGTCCGGAATCGAACGCACTCGTTTGAGCGCACATGCACAGCCCCTTCCGAGAAATATTCGACACTGACGATCTTTCTGGTACGATCGTTCATTGTAGCAGAAAGCTCGAGGTTACTGTGCGCAAATGACTTACATCAGCGAAGCTCTGGCCGTATTCACGTCCATCGACAGGGTCCCGGGCCTGTAGCGTCTACATGTGGTATCCCTCCTGCTAGGATACATTAAGTTGGATGTCTTTGATGGTTTATCATGCTCTCACTCTGATGTTGCGCATGTGTGGTCTACGTTCTTGTCATTCTTCTCGGGGACGAGGTGGCTCCAAGCATAGGCACTCGGCCTCTCGAGCATTTGCTATAGGTCGTGTCTTGCGCAGTCCAGCACATGACAACACATCGTATAAATAACTTGTCAGGGAAACGATAGATGCTCCTAGCCTGGTCAATACCGGTGGCGATATCACCCGGTCTTGTATCTGCTTCATCAGACTTGGTATCCTCTTTTCTCACTATTTGTGGATGCGAGGACGAGCCCGTACGATTCCTTTTCATTGCATCATTGACGGAGCAGAGCCATTCAACTTAGTCGGACGTGTCGACGATAGCACGAGTAAGACTGTTTGCTAGTGACGTTTGCGAGTAGTAGTTGGCTATGCAATATGAGGCCCTTGTGCATGCGTAAGAAAATGATCACCTGCCTACGCACAAGGGTTGTAGTCGCTAAGCGCGGACGATACCTAAGCACGATGCCAGACGCGACCAACTGACGCATCCAGAAGGGTAGCAAAGTCCTTCTTCGAAGTCGCTTGATGATTCGATGATGATTGCTCCTAAGCGCGTCTGGCGGTTACGTACTGCCCGTGCTTTCGGCGCTGTGATACGCTCGGACGGGTGAGATGAGCGTCTCGAAGAAGACCTAACAGATCGATGCTTTCGATCGCAGGCTTTCCACATGAGTCTTCCTGCCGTGCAGACATGCGCACTCACGCACACAGAGATCGCAGAACAATTTGCTTTCTAGATGCTACAGGAAATTGCGGCAGCAGAATGCACTACGCCCGCGCGTCTGCTGCGTCTAGTATTATCTTGGGCATCAGGTGTATCACGGGCTTGCTGAGGCCATGGTTGCGGCCAGCGTTTGTCCGTCCGGTTTCTTCGCGATCTTGCGATCCTCCGCCCATGAGGAGCCTCGGATTTGAACCAGTGATCTTCCCACACTAGTCTGAGAAACCCTATCGGCTCACTCGTGACAGCTGCTGCGGGCTTCAATTCATCAGCGATGAGACCTTCACGTGTCCCAGGAAACGCTCAGGCAGATTCGCTTCCTGCAGGCGCGTGCCGTCGTGATGGATTTTGCCGCTGCGTTTCTCAGCGAGTTCGCGCGCGCAGTGGATACAGGTGAGCTCAATGATTACGTCCGCGGTAGGGGGCAACATAACATCACGTGCGCCCCAGCTGATGCTCACAAAACTGCTCAATTAGACAAGTGCGCCAAAAGCGGAGGACCGCTCTGTTCGTTGAGTGGTAAGCTCAGCCTCAAGCAAACGAGACGAAGGTCTGTGGTATCTCCACACTAATCGATAAGCAAAGAGAAATTGGGATAGTACATGCAGGCGACGATAGGGCGTCGCTGGGAATCATTCGAGCCAAATTGTCCACACAAACGCACAGTTGACCAGCGAGCGCACGTCAAAGCTTCGCTGCGCTTCGTTAGGCCTTTCGTGTGACAGCAATGGAGAAACGTGGCCGGAAAGCTCACGTTGGGCTGTAGCGCTACGTGCAGCTGCTTTGTCTCGCGACGAGCTCTGAGAGTCGACTCGTTGGTCCGATGGCCACTTACTTGGTCGCGTGACTCGTACTTCTGGTAGTACGGATCCAGCTCCAGCTGCGCGGTCGGTAGGAGGTTTTCTCGTGCTTCTTCACGAGAGGCAGCAGTGCTCCTGCTCATTTGTAACCTACACATTGGACGCTATCAATCAAGTGCATCAAGCAGACATAGACGCAGACTCCTGTGCAAGAACGAACCAGTCGTCGTGAAGGCCGTCGCTGTTGAAGGTCGGAAGGACCTTCAGCGGTCGATGGATACCGTAGCAGAACAGGCGGTGGCTGTGGACATGCCAAGATGCACGTCGTAGTAAGTACATAGCTAGAACGCGAGCGAAGCGTGCAGCTGCTGCTCGCATGCCCTCACCTTCGATACGAGTTTTGATGCTGCACACTTGCCGACGAGGTGCGACAGCGGTACTGGCAGTACTGGAACACAGTGATCGCAGCGGGTTCACTGTAGATCGGGTGAGTTGGGTCCGCGTGTGTAAGGAGCTCCCGACGCGTGGCGGACTGGAAGTGTAGCAGAGGAACCGGTCAACAGGTTCAGCTTGAAAAACGAGCACCGAGAAAGTCAACGCAGAGCGGTACATTGAGTGGGTGCATGCAGCAGGACACACACTGCTCAAAGACATTGCAGCAATGCGGCGGGTCCGTATCGCATCGGTCGCCCGTGTACTGCTGGATCCGCGGGAGACTGGTGTCGATCGAGTTGCAGCAGCCACATCTCGCCTTGTCCAGCTGAGACCGGGTGCACACTTACATAGCCTTCAGGACAAGAGGTGTACAACAAAAACGACGTCAGCCACTGCACGTAGACAACATCGCGGACTTCACTTACCCATAGAATCAGTGAGTATCTCCATCCCCTGAACCGTGTTCTCGCATCCAGATTCGCTTCTGCCCAGCTTCAGGCCGTCAGTTTGTTCACGACGGAACACTTGGCGCATCTCAGGCACGAACGCACGCGCTCGGTCCACTATGATCCGTGACCGAATCTTATCTTCGTTCAGCTCGTTCGCACTGCAACAATGTTGCAACGCAATCGTCATTAGCACTCTCTCTCTCTCCTTTACGACACCTTCAGCTCAGCTCAGCTCCTAACTTAGCTACCGTACGCAGAACCAACTAACTGATCTAAAAAGCCGTATCACTTCAGTCTCGACTGGCGACCGATAGGAATGAGACCGATGATCCCACAATGTAGGACAGTGCAAACGCCAGCCCCGTAGCCAGCAATAGGCGCAGCGCGCTCATCTTTGAGTAGGACAGATCGAAGAGCGTGCCGACTGGACGATCCACCGATCGACGAGCATAGTATGCAGCGCAGCATACTATGCTGTACACACTGATGGCCGCGCCGACAGAGGTCCACAACGAGTCGAGTCAGGAACATGACAGTCGCGCCAAACAGTCTCCAGCGCACTGACTTCTGCTCGTGCCGTAGCTCCCGTTGGCGCTGCTCGGACGCTCGTCGGTCCTCTCCTTCGCGCATGAGCTCAGATAGAACGTCATTGTTCACCTCGTGGCGCACGTCGCCCACGTGGTTCATGTCGTAGAAACTACCCGTCTCGACTGACTATGCGTTCCACCAGAGGAGACTTTTCGACATTGTATCGCGCTTCTGCTGCTGGCCATTGGTTTGCGGCGCTGTCTAGCTGGACAGTATGCTGTATCGACGATCTCGGGGTTTCCCGAGCCTTTGAACAGCTTTGAACTGAGCTTCTTGCTTTCAGTCGTGAAGATTCGGGTAAGCCGCTGTTTGTGCCTGAAATGAATACGAGGATGGACTATGAGGCGCACTGCAATGCAAGCAGCCAGTTGGGATTCCACAAAGATGGACGTGCTCGGACAGCGTTGTCCACGACTTTTCAGATGAACGTCGTCGAGCGAACCTCTCTGTCATACGGCTAATGGCTGGCCGCTCAAAGACGCTAAGTGATAGTGTTGACTACTCATTCGTTTGTTGGACATGAGACGGCTTGTCAAGGCCAGAGCGATTGGCTCCAAGTAGTCTGTCTCTGATCGATTATAGACGGTATTCGGCGCTGTAGAAGAGAGCTGTAGCGAGTGTAGTCGGCATGACGCTCGCGCAACTATCTCGTCGTGAGACGGGTTTTCCGTCCGTGCGTCCATTAGCACTACAAGCACGACTATCATCGTCGGTCATTCCAAACTGTGAAAGCTGCTCTTGTTATACGTACGTTCTGGCAACTTCGATCGACGACGTCCTTTGGCAGCGCGTTCGTTACAGAAAGGATTGGACACGCGGAACAGACTCAATAGACGTTACGCTGCAGCTCTTTAGGGTTCCGGTATCTTCAGAATGGCACGCAACAGCACGTCGCGGAGCCCTTTTGCGACTGTTCGTACCGCCATGAGTGCATTGGCTTGCAGCTACTTTCACAGCTATACTTGGACCAATTTCATTTCCCTTCGTGGAATCCATTTGAGATTTCTTACTTCTTTTGTGGGATAAAGAGCCGCTTGACATGTCTGACTCACACATGCACGCTTCCTACAAGATGCACGCTCTCGAGGGAAGCTTAAGACATTCGAATGACGCCGTGATGTCGTCAGATGGGGTTCGCATCGCAGCTCGCTCAGCACTTTACTCATCTAGCAGTTTGCAGATTCTAGACATGACACGGGTATGTGCTTTTCCGTGCTTGTGATGCAACAGCGCAGTGACTCATCACACCCATTTCTCGAATCAACGATCCTTAATATCAGCGGCCCCTTTGCACGCTACAGGACAACCTTCTTTCTCAAAATTCCGTTACCGATGGTCACGCCTTCACTATACCGTAATGTACCCGTAATATCGACAAGAATTCGATACCTCGTTAAGATACACGCACGATATCTTTTCAAACGATGCTTCCTAAAGGCACACGGCCGATGTCGTTTCAATCGATAAGCTCGAATCGATGCAGCCAAGATGCACTAGGCATTGCAAGCGGCATAGAATTATCGCTTGGGTGAGATGATTTATTTATCGCCATTCAGCACGAGAAGTCTCCACAAGCAGCGATTTGGCGTTCACCGCAGTCTCGTAGTTTTCACAATTAGCGTTGAAACACTGATTGTGAAAATGTCACGCGTCAAAGTATAGCAAAAGACAGTTCAGCATTGAAACCGTTTTTTATTTATAGTATAAGCGCTGAAACAGTTTGAAGAAACGCTGTGAAACTTAGAAATGGCTAGCTGAACGTTGAAATTTATTTGGCTTCTTTGGTCGACGTAATTTAAACTGAGAAACCGGAAATGTACATAGAAAATATAAAATTTTGGAGATAGACATGAATGGAGTACGAACGAACGCTTCATAATTATATAGAGCTTCGTAATTTGATATCAGCATTTGCATTCAAGCATCAGACCACTTGAACTAAATTTGTACAGATTATAGTTACCCAAAATGTAAAGTATCGCATTGGCGCGACTGAATTTGTCTCGTGAGTATGACAATCTCGTACCTCCAATGGATGTAGGTATTCAGCAGCACATAATGTCTCCTAAGCATCCTTGTTGAATGCTTCCCTATCCATAGCTATCCACTTGACCGCATGGTAGCCATCATAACTTCTTTTCTTTCCATTTTTTGCGTTTTCCGCATTTTATTGTCCGATGTAGTAGCTATTGGCTGGAAAGTTATGAGCCCATTACAAGCTCTTGCAATTACAAGGGGCAAGTCGATTAACATAAATTGACGATTTATTTAGGGAATTGCTAAATTCACACCTATTTTCCTTAGATTCACACTCTTCCTTCAAAATCTTATATATGAAATTCCTATTCATTTTAAGATTTGATTTCTGACAAAGGTATTTCTCAATAATCTACTATATTATCAAGCCACTCGGATCGACCTGCGGCAGGTCATTATAGATGCAAGGAAGTACGTAACAGGCACACCCGAGAGATAAAACAGCATGAAAATGTGGTAGCGCAGAAAGAAGAGGAAGTTGGGCACGGCGTCGTACAAAGTGAGTGCATGACAAGAGTAGCGCGGCAACTCCACGAGGCACCACCATAAGCGGGAAGCCGAACATATAGCGTGAGGCGGGACAGAGCCTAGACGAGCCATAGCCGAGAGCTCACTTGCATGAGTGTAGAGCCCACTGGGGGTCGCACAAAGCCCACGGCATCGTGCACGATCTCTTTTACGGACATCATCTGAATTACTTTGAGCGGCAGTGACATAACGGCCCACGTGATTTTTGCCACTTGGCTCCAGTCCAGATCGCCACCTTCACGCGCCTTGAGGACCGTTGTCACTGTTAGGTACAACACGTACGCCCAGCCAGCGCAAGAGACGTCATTAAAGGCCAGCAGGTAAAAATTTAGTTGCGAAGACTACGCATACATAAAGAGGGAACTATGGTCAGCCTCTGCGTTGCAACCTGGACACTCGTCCGTATCTCCTCTTGTTCTCGCCTTTTTGGCCTGCACGACCGTTCGTGGAAAGTCGTCAAAAATAAAGCCACGACGGCATTCCGAACTCTTTATTGCGTCCTTAATGATACCGACGACAATCTCGCCGGTCACAAGTGCGCCCGACTCCATCGCGGCTTTGACCTTTTTGCCTATGTCGGTGCCAGCAGCTACAGCAGCGCGCAAGATGTCGCCCGTAGCAAAGTGGCAGAGAAAGTACTCGTCTTTGTCCAACGGCGATTGCGTACCTTGTATATATAAAATTTTGAAGGAAGGGTGTGAATCTAAGGAAAAGGGGTGTGAATTTAGCAATTCCCTTTATTTAATCAGACGCAAATCGCATCTTAGTGAATATTCAGCAATTTTATCACTTAACATGATAGCCAACACCTTAGCTTACATCCTTAACAAAGATTCCATTAAAATCCCATTATTAGAGAACGGCGGTTAACAATAATTAGTAATTTAGGACTACAATGCAATTTGGTTAATTGTTTCGCGGTAGCTGACATAGGTCGTGGCATCATCCAGCAGGTCACCAAATATCTTCGAACGCGCGCAATAAGTGTTGAGCTGACAGTAAACGACATGTTATTCCCTATTTTGGTTCAAGTAAGCTTAGCATATATATCCAAAAACTTTAATCGCAATGATAGGCATCATTACACTACGTGAGCAGGGGGAAATCACATCGATAGTATGTAATTGTACATGCTAAATAAGACGCTGCAATCTACATCCGATGAAGCGGGTGTATCATGTTGCATACTCTTGTTGAAAATAAGATGCAGACCGATTCCCAATCACGATGTAAAGCGTCGATTGAGCAAAGTTACTACGTGCTTCGCATGAGTGAGCAAAAGAAACGGGATTAGTTTGGCGCTTACCTACAGCTCTTTCTAGTATATTAGAGTGCAGTCCACTTACCGCTGACTTTGGTCGCCTCACACCTAGTGTATAGATTGTATTTTCTGTAATGGTCAAGTTCAAGAGGTTGATCCAGGAAGAGTCTACGCAGCTTCAGACGTGTCCGGGTCACTCGAATATCTTTGCGTCAGAAAGGTGTAGTGGCAAGCTCTACACCTTCTCGTGTCCGTATGAGACAAAGTCTTCGATGAGTCGGTCAAGAGCATGTGATGAAGCGGATCGAGACGTGTGAACCCCAGATCGCGCTGCGACCAATTTCTTGTTTTGCTGTAGATGTGAGGCACACAACGAGGTGCACCACACACCGCGATATCGGGTCAAGCGATCTTGTATGCTGTGATCTTGGCTGATGCGATATTGGGTGCGTAATCTTAGATGATGTTATCGTAGAAGATGTAATCATCTTGATTGACGTGATCTTGGGTGACGCCATCTCGTGCATCGCGATATGAAGATGATAAGATCACGGTGATGTGGCGTGGACTAACGGATATGATTGACGATCGATCTCGACAGCACAAGGTGACATGTTGTGTTCCTTTCTAACAAACGGAATTGGCTTCGTCAGAGGTTTATACTTTGGTTAAATTACATATAATGTGACATCAATTTACTTCTAATTGCACAAGTTTATTTTCTCTTTCCGGGTGGGATCGTTTGGTTTCCCGACGTCTGACAAGGTCGACCGACCGCCAAGAAGATCACTCCTGTATTCTTGTCCAGGAGTGCAAGACATCTCCAAACCTCTTCAACTGCAATTGGACGCAGAGTGCAAGATAGAGAGACGGCTCAAGTGGTCAGAAGGCTCACAAATCAAGCACCCATTTCGGACAAGTTGATCTCGTAGAGATCGGGGTGATTCATATCAATCACTCTACAAGTACACCCGTGGTCTTGTGAAGATTTCCATACGACCACCAGCTCATCTCAACCAAGGTCGAGCTTTTGATCGGCACGAGTCCACCTAAAGTGCAGCCCGCCCTACCGACGTGTGCACAAGGTGAGGAAGTAAACAAACACGAAAGCGGAGTACCCCATCCAATAGCCGGTCGTCTGGACGCCAGTAGAGAGTCATGATTACAATAATGTTGTGCTCACCACTCCACCATAAGCACAGCGACTGCCGATACACAGGGCGAAGCTGATTAATGTTACGCATTGCGCTAGTTCGCCGTCAAATTAGTGGCA